ACTCCCCTCTGAGCACGGAGCCGGACACGGGGCTCGATCTCACGGCCCTGAGGTCACGACCTGAGCCAAAATCAAGAGCTGGATGCTTAATCCACTGAGCCACCCAGGCGCCCCTGGGGTCTGAGTTTTAAAATAATATGCTACACGACCGGACCTTTTGATTGATCCCACTGGAATATTGGGATATATGTAGAGTTAAATGGTTGTTCCAGCGGCAGTTGATTACATCATTCATAAGATGTAGCACTGAGGCAACTGGAATTTGTGCCCAAAGGCCATACATAGATCATAACTTCTGTTTATGACCATTGTTTTCATTCGTCAGCCTCCTTTCCATCATTTCCATGAGTTGAAATATCAGAAGTTGAGACTGGCTTTTCATAAATTTTTTTAACCAGTATTTTTTATTTTTATTATTATTTTTTAAGATTTTATTTATTTATTTTGACAGAGAGGGAGACAGCGAGGGAGAGAGAGCGAGCACAAGCAGGGGGTGTGGGAGAGGGAGAAGCAGGCTTCCCGCGGAGCAGGGAGCCCGACATAGGGCTCGACCCCAGGACCCTGGGACCATGACCTGAGCCGAAGGCAGCCACTTAACGACTGAGCCACCCAGGCGCCCCTAACCAGCATTTTTTAAACTGCTTTTATGATTAGTTTTCTCCTCTGGGTGTTTTCAAATTAATTTTCAGTGGTGAGATTTTTAGTTCCAGAATTTTGTCAGGTATGAAAGTCAGGCTAACAGGTCAGTAATTCTCAGGCTGATTCTATTTCATTTTCTAAATCATCTTAATGTTTTAATCTGCTCAATCCTCAAAGTGTCCATGCAGTAGAGGTACCTTCTAAAGAGCAGCTGTTGAACAGAAAGAATAGTTCCAAAATGAGAGCATAAAAATGGAGAGAGATGGTATGTATAAAACTCTAACTGGCACTTTATATGACATTTTGAAGGCATTAAGTATTTCAAAGTCATTAAAAAATTGTTACTATTGTACAAGGCATATAAAAAGAATACATTTACCCACCAGGCTGTTAACTCCTGGGTAGGAATTTCTTTTGAACAGTGAATAATCCATAGTAATGTTCTAATACTTTCATGCTGTAATTAGAATTAATATCTGAAAGTTTGCAAATATGTCTCTAAATAGAACAGGGTTGGACATCAGCTTTTTGGTGATGCATTTCCTTCCTTGATGTTTTATTGTTTTTGACTTAAAAGGAAAGAAATGCACAAACTTGTTCATTTCACAGGGCAAGCCTTATTACTTGCAAGTATTACATTCTATGGGTGTTTCCTTCCTTCCAAATACATTTCCACTGAGTTGCAGCATTGTTTGTTTCTCGTTTCATTTCGAAGACTACTCTGTTCCAGATTCATCAGCTACTAATTGAGAATTCAACATACTACAGATGTGATGTGTACAGAAATGTGTTCAAGGAAAAAAAAAAAATCAAACCAGAAGGCTGCTAATTTGCGGTTGGACTTTAACCTGCTTGCTTTTAATAATGCTTGAATATAGATCCTAATTTATGGGCTTGGTGTGAATATTATTAAACCTTCCCTACCGTTCCCTTGTGCTTTAAATGTTCACTGACCTGTGAAGATAGCTGAGTGGATAAATATACATAGACCTGGCAAATCAGAAGGATATTAGAACTAGAGCTCATCTTGATTAAAAAAAATACCTTTATATCACATGATATATTGATTTATTTTTTTAAATGAAGAGGAGAGAAACATAGAAATAACACATAAACTGACTTTCACTGCTTTTTTATGAATTGAAAGTGGGGCACCCATTAATATGTATCCTAGCCTGCCGGTCTTTCCACCCTTAATTTCACAGTCTCTGGTGGTTACATGAGTTAAACTTGGCTTGAGCCTCTTTAAGGGGCAAATGAGAGACTGTGGAGGGAGAGGAACCAAGGGGGCACCAGGGAGAGGGGGAGAACAAGAGGGAAGTGGGCTGAGATATCAGTCCTGCCACTCCACCTTACTCTGTGTGTCTTTTTATCTAGCTGTTCCCTAAAGACAGTGGTCAGCTGTGTCCCAGTGTTACCACAAAGAGCGAGGAAGATCAATACTGCAAGTTTGTGTTTTTTTGTTTTTTGTTTTTTGGTTTTTTTTTTTTTTTTTTTTTTTGCTTGAGACAATGAGAAGCCACAGATGACCTTGGGAAATCAAGTCCTGTGGAGAAATGAGGACATAATTCAGATGTCTGCTGGCTGAGCAGGGAAGGGGAGGTGACCGAGTGGAAAACAGTGGAGGTGGGCTCATCTGCCCAGAAGCTTGGCCCCTGCAGCTGGATGTGGAGCCCCTCTGGGTCCTTCCCAGAGAGCTTTCCAGAGTTGTGCAGTGACAACCTGAACAGACGGAGGCAGGCACCGACTTCCCCGTATTTGTCATTCTTCCCCCACCCAACGCAGAACGTATCTGACGCTGAGTGAATGAACGTACTGAATGTTTCTTGACTACATGAAAGAAAAATGGACACGAAGGAAGAAACTAGATTTTTACCAAGAATCTATTGATGAACATGAAAAGAAAATCAGGTTTCTATTTTGAAGATTCTATCAAGAATCAATTCGATTTTGAGACTTCAACAAAGAAATACAATAAAGGTAATGCTAGTAATAACAGCTTTGTGTTGGCATAAAGCTTGATGGTTCATGAAGCATCTTTTTAAAAAAATATTCATTGTCCATTACTTTATGAAAAAGTGCAGCATGGGACATTGAGGGAAGAACTGTAATCTAGAGAATATTCAAGGGTGAGACTTGAAATTAGAATATAGAGAAAGTTCTTAAAATAGATTTCTAGTAATATTGACTCAGGATGTTGTGTGGCTAAAAGGAAAGACAATTTTAATTAACACCCCGGAGTAACCCTGGGATCAGAATGTGTAAGAAAAGCATAGCATGAAGTCATCCTCTTCACCACAAATCTGTGTGAGTCTGAGCTTCGTACAGCTCTATCTAGCATTCTAGGTTCTCGATTTAAAGCTGGACCGGAGAGCAGAAATTTGGGGAAGAATTCAGAGGAGAGGTGAAGAGAGCATTAAAGACTGAAGAAATAGGAGCGCCTGGGTGGCTCAGTTGGTTAAGCGACTGCCTTCGGCTCAGGTCATGATCCTGGAGTCCCGGGATCGAGTCCCACATTGGGCTCCCTGCCCAGCAGGGAGTCTGCTTCTCCCTCTGACCCTCTTCCCTCTCGTGCTCTCTATCTCTCATTCTCTCTCAAATAAATAAATAAAACCTTTAAAAAAAAAAAAGACTGAAGAAATAGGACCAACTGTGAGATGTTCAAGGAACTCGACTTTTCATAAATCCTTACTCGCTGTTTCAGAATTCTCGATGAGTCCCACGATGTGGCTGCCTAGGGGGAAGGGCTCACTCCCGTCATTTCAATTACAATTATCTTATAAAAGAAATATCCAAACTTGGCTGCAAGATCTTCACCAAACGTCCTTTGGTTTCCCTAGTGCAAGCTTCCTCGGAAAATCGTGTGGTGGCTCCTGACTGACTTTTTGCAACCGCGGTAGAATGAAAAGAAATACACCATCCCACTGAGACCAAGGAAGCAACGGAGAAGTTAGTTTCAACAGAGGTTGTCAGAGTGGGGTATGGAGTCTCATTCTCTGGGGAGTTTTAAAAATAGGCCAGTCTCTGTGGGACAGTTTCAGCCTGTGGAGGAGCCTCTCATGTTCCCTTCCACCTCTCCGAGTCTATAGGGTAAAACAAGATCTGAGGAGGCCTCCCGGGCAGGGTGAGCTTGCAGTAACTCCGGCTCATTTCTAACTAGAGTGCCTTCTCACCCCCTGGAATGAGAAGTATATAAGTACGGGTGGGGTCAGAATGTTCCCTGAGCCACACTCTGTTGGCATTACCGAGACAGGTCTCTCCCTCCACAGTGCCGTCGGCTGAAGAGCACAAAGGATACCAGTTAGTATTGAATGATAGTGCTCTGTCGGATTCCATTTGTCCCACTGTGTGTGCGTGCGTGCGTGCGTGCGTGTGTGTGTTTGTGTGAAAATATAATCAGAGAAACTCACTGGAAAGGAAATACGGTTAAAAATCTGGAAAATACATGGAGAGAGAACCTTCACATTGGAGTGAGGCTAGCTCCTAATGTCAAGCATTTGATTCTGACATTAGATCATAACACTTGGCATTTACGTTTTCTGGGGTCTGAGGTCTATCCAGGATTGTTGTCTGTTGCTGGCAGTTGGAAATTTGCCTCCTAGACAATGTGCTCTCTCCCAGTCTCCTACAGCTACTGGGTAATGGCCGGCTTCTCGCAAGAGGCGAAGAAACAGCGAAGCTGACAGGCACAGTCAGAGTGAGCTTTAAATATCATGCACCCCATCATTTGGTGGGTGGGTGTTGTTGCTAACTGCGCTTCTACTTCAACAAAGAAAGTGGTGAGTTGCCAAAAAACAAGGATGTTCCATCTTAAGGATTGTGCTGAATTCTTTCCAGAGAAGCACTTTTTTTTTAAAAGATGCATTTTATCCTAAAACATTTTCCAAATTTATTTAGGCATTCTATCCAAGGAAAATAATTTAAGTATTGTGCCGTGTAACTAGAATTTGCAGAATTAGAACAACTTTCTCTCTCCGAAGGTCTATCTTTATTCATCAGTGGTCTCTGACGGCCTGCATGGGGAGGGGTACCTGTCAAGGTCACAGTCATACAGGCTGGCCAACAGATACACTGGACCTGGCAACCTACAGCCTAGCACATTTACAAACAGGTGGTGAAAATATGATTTCGTGGGTTTTTTTTTTTAATTGTTCTTTCCTCTTCGCCTCCCATAATTACAGCTTTTCTGAAAGGTCAATTTTGTTTTCTTTAGGAAAAAGAGCCTTCCCTTTGTTTCCCGAATACTATGTTGATGCCCTTCCTTAGAAGTCTTCCCCTTAATTAAGTTGGCCCGAAGGTCACAAACCATAATCAATATGGAGGCTGGTTGCTGCAAGGTGCTAATTGACATCCCCAAAGAGGAATAGTGTCAACAATCAATAGAGAAGAGCAGAGCACTGGTAGATTTATGGCTTTGATTTTGAAAAGGTATGGGAATGCCCGGTGATGTTTCTCTGCTTCCCCCCCCCCCCCACCGGACTCCTTTTGAATGTTAATGCTTTCTTGAAGATGATTTCCGACTCACTGCTAGGATACTGCCTCTACTCACTGAAGCAGAATCCTCTGAAGAGTTGCGGAGGCAGAACTGAAATCATGGCTTGCCACAAAGCAGCAGCTGTATTGGCCGCTAATGATGCCTCACACAGAAAGACGATGCTCCTTTAACTCGGGGGTTTTAATGGGAAGTTTCTAAGGCTGAAACGACGGCTTTAGATCTGGGGTGTGCCATCAGCGGCTTGCAGATACCACTGTCTCCTGCCTCAACACAGCCTGGTCGGGAAGAATGGAAACTAAAGAGGCTTGTAACTACCTGTAACTGTTCCACCAGGAAATGGATCAAGTGTTTGTTCAGCCAGATTCAGGTACTTGACCAACACCGTGTCTTTGATGGGCTAATTAATGCTTTTCTCTAACTTTACGATGTATGCGTGAGCGATGATGGCAGGGATGCCTTTTGCATCCAAGTTCTGAATTTAGTTCTAGATGTCAGATGAAGTCTAATTAAACAGTTGCAAGGTTAAGTTAATGCGAGGGGGTGAAATGGAATGATGCCTTTATGTTTAAAGCATGCTTAAGTTTACAGTGCTATACCGACATTGGATAAAGGAGGAGTAAAACAGGCTCTTTTCTTTGCTAAGCTGCAGTAAATTGCTCCTGAAAGCTATTTGCCCATTACAGTTATTTTTCCATTCACCTAAAACATCCAACCTTCCAAAATGTTACGGGGATGTTTTAATTTGTTCACAAAGGATCACGACTTAACAACTCCCAGTGATAACGCCGACTGTCCCTGGTGTCCCTGGGTGGCAAGCACGGTGCAGCGCTAGCCTTTTGAGGTATCAGCAAGCACTCTTGTTCACTAGGAAACACGCAAGGACAGGGAAGGCAAGCCCGGGATAACAGTAAGGTTTATCGTTTGAAGAGAAAAGTTCCAGTTTGCTAGTGGTGCTTTTTGGTACCCCCAGTTCCCGACGCGGCACTCACGTGGGATTTTCCTGAGGTTCTCAGCTAGGCTGTAGCCTCGCCCTGCAGTCCCTTTAAAACTCTTCTAGCAGATGTTGGGAGGAAGATGAAGACAGGGAAGAAGTAAGGCTGAGGTCAGGGCTCAGGTTGAAGAGAAAGGTCTCCTGCTGACCCAGAGCTGGCAAGCCAGGACCAAGAGGGGTCCACTCCCAAACCCAAGCAGACATCTGCAGGCTGACTTGGCAGTGACAGTCCGAGGGAACGGACCTCCCGGGGCAGCAGTGGAGGCGGGCGACAGTTCCAAAACTGCCTGTTGACATTTGTAGCTGACCACATTCACGTGTGTGTCAAGCCATTGTTTTGGGGCTTCCTAGTAGCCTTGGGTCTATTTGTTGGCTGTGTTAAAGTTCTATCTCTGTCCTTAGCCATCCTGTGAATTCTGAAGCATCAGGGCTATTGTACTGGATCAAGAGGGCTGTATTCAGAAAAGAAAAATATGGAACTTGCCAGGTATTTATGTGAGAAAAAAAAAGGGAGGTGTATGTTGGTTAAAATATATGAAGTACCTAGAAAGAGCTAGGAAATCTTTACCTGAATTTCTGGGCCGGTCACCAAGAGGGCCATGAGTTCTTTGAATTTATAGGGAATATTTTGCATCCTTGTGTGTATATCCTGGAATGCAAATTACTGTTCCCTGGGCTCATACCCAGTAAGTAGTTCCACAAGATTCATAGGTAATAACTTTTGTTTATATAGTGATTTGATTCCTTAGATGAGGTAGCTTTTTCTGGGAGGCTCACAGTTATAGGGGAAGATATATAATAGGGTCGACTGGGATGTTTACAAGTCTGGGGTGGGGGGCTTGGGATGGAGGATGGAGTATATCTCCAGAGACTCTACTTATGCAAACAGCAATGCAGCTGAGGCTTTGTTTAGCTCAAAACGCAGAGATGATTCTCTTTAGCCTCCCTCTCAGCCTATGTAGTACGTTAATCATTGAAAGGCATGTTAACATTTCAACAGTCAGTTTCAGAACTGTTGCAGAATAATGCAGCACTTGGAGGAACTTCGTCTCTGCTAGTCATTGCAAATTCAGTCTTGCCTACCTAGCCAATTCCCTTCCTGGTACAGTCTGCAGAGTGGTCTCACTAGTCTGCCAGATAAATATAAATAAGATACACGGGATGTCTTTGTAGGACGAAGTGTCCTGTCCATTACACGCGAATGTAAACTCTACAAACCTGTGAGTGTTCTTGCTCAATAGACCCACTGTTTTTGCGTCTACTTTTGAAAACATGTCAAGTCACATAACTAGGTTTCTGGCCTAGAAGTTTTAAAAAATGAGGTGTGGCACTTAAGTGGTTTAGAGGTACTTAAAATACAGTATTGCTTCACTGCGCCCTGCACACCATTAGCAGCTGAGGGATGGCTGACTTGCTACTCATTCCTACACGCTGGAGAGAAAACTTGCGAGTCAGCAGCCTTTGGGGAATGCTTCTCTTCTGGTAACTGATTTTTATGATTTGGGGCAGTTTACTTATAATCTCCATTCCCCAGTGTGCTTGTTTGCATAATAGAAATGAGAAAGAAACCTCATTTTGCACACAAATGGTAGAAAGAGGAAACGCTCATTCATCATCACAGATTTATTGAACGTTCACGATGTGCTAGGCAGGACTTCACATGAGCTGCCTCTGTTATAACTATGACCGTTGCAACCCGTTGTGTAAGGGGGGGGCAGTCCATGAGCTGATGGCCACGAAAGTGAGAGGGTGGGACCAAATGCCTGTGGGCAGCTCCACAGAGCAAGGTGCCAAGGGCACCAAACTAATTCTGTTGCTGTCACTTTAAAAATAAGAAAAGCAATATATCATTGCTTTAAGGTCTATTTTCTTCAGATAAGATAATTTCTCTTACCGTTAAATTGTATAATACGACGCTAACAAAATGAAATGTCCAAAGGATCCAAGCTTGGGAAGGCTACATGTTGACACTCACGGTTTCCAGGTAAGACATCTGGCTTCAGGATATTTTAAACGGCTGTTCTTCCCCAGCAGCAGAGCCAGTTAGCTCCGAAGGGCTTGAGCCCTGAAACAGAAGGGCCACCGCTAATTTTTGTATTTGATGGGACCCGACCCATCAGCCTTGATGCCAAGGAAAATTTAAAAAGGCAAATAACAGCTTTTCAAATCATGAAATCGGAGACTATTAAAGTGTCACTGTGACTCAGACTATCTATGATTCTTTGAAATAAGATCTACTTCAAACACAGGGGTCTGACATCCCAGGCTGGCTGGATGACATGGGCTTTTTTATCCCTTCTTTGTCTCAGCTAGCACCTCAAAGTTTGAATTCAGTTCCTTGGATTGTAAGGGGCCAGAGATTTGATTCAGCCTCTATTTTTTTAAAAAAAGGCAGTGACCCCAGAACAGCCAGGAATTCCTCAAGGAGCTTGCTATTTAGTAAGGGGCCCGAGGTGAACACCCTGTGGAGACGGGTCCTGGGAGAGGTGCTGCCGCAGAAAGCAGGTGCAGGGCTCCTGCGGGGGACAGAGCAGGAAGCACGCCGTCCCTCTGGTGCAGGGAGAGACAGAGGCCCCACCGAGGAGAGGAGGTGGCATTTGGTGCGAACCCTGAGGGAGGGAGCGAAACCCACAGGCGCGAATAGAGGGAGGAGGAGGGCATCAGGCAGAGAGCATCATGACTAAAAGCTCAGAGGTGGGAAACCTGGCGGGGTTCAAGGAACAGCTCGTGTTAGGTCAAGCTGCAGAGCAGACCAAGTGAGGACGGCCTCCTCAGGTGTCTGCAGACTCCATCCCATGTAAGTCTGTTCTTCTTGGTCCTTGTACTCCAAACCAAATGCAATTTGATCTTTGTTCCTGTTTGAACTTAGGAGAAAAAGAAATTCCTATCTTACAAAAATTCCATTGTCGGAACATGACCTAATTTATCGTCCAGGAAACAGGGCTCTCAGGTCCGGGAGGGACTCAATGGGCCGTTAGGGTCCTTGGACATTGGGGCGCCAAGGTTTTCTGGAGGGAAGAAGTGGTAAGAACTGAGCTGAGAAGGATGGATCATGGCGCAGTATGTTGGAAGCATGAGGAAAGAAAGAGAGGCCTCTTTGTAAATTATTTTAAGTGGGGCTAGTGGCTGAGAGTGATAGTGGCTAGGGCTGAGCTGAACTGCTCACCAGGGGCTTCGTAGGTGATGCAGAGGGTTTTACACTTTGTGACGATCACAGAGTCCAGGGAGCTTGACTCTGGGGATGTGTTATAGGATTTAATACTATTAAATTATTTTAATTCAGTTTTCCTTAGTCCAGTATTAAAATGAGCCTTTATTGTGTCCTGAGCACACACAAATGGAGGTCCAGGGAAGACATGCATGCGCCGTGTGTTGGGGAAGCCAGTTAGGACTGAAATACGGCGGTGAGTAACTGCGGTTCTCTCGTACTTAAAAAAACCGCCTTTGATTATTATTAACACTTAGGACGGTTATGTCGGAAGTCCTTTGAAATAATTTACTCGCCCAGATTTCTCTATTCGTCTGAAAGGAAGATCTCATTATTCAGGTAGGAGCCGTCGTGAACATTTTACAAGGATCATTTTTGCCAAAAGGGGACATTTCACTCCAAGGCAGACATTTTAAAAATGTTGCTGTCTTTGAATATTTGGGGACTGTGGTAGTTCAGTGATTAGATTTATCTCTTTTTCTGCCTCTTCCTCCATCCGATGCTGCCTTCAACTTAAATGTGCTGTGGAGCTTTCCCAATTTGTAAATTACTGATTCGCTGATGGCGGGTTTAAAACCAAGCAGGCTCTTCGAGGGATTTCAATCAGTCCCAGGCAAAGCTGTGAAAGAGCTGGCTTTTCTTCCTGGGTCTCTGTATCCCCATATCCCTTTCTAACCATACCCGGATCGTGTCAGCTGTGCCTCCCTTCCCCCGCCCTCCCCAGGACTTCCCTACTGGGCCGTCAGCCTTCAGTGCCCCATGTCTGCTCCCCCTAAACCCCAGTGGCCCCTCATGTCCAGCGAGACCCATCAGCCCCCTTTCTATCTAGCTACCACATTTCGCCTCCTTCAAGTAAGTGCAGTTTTCCCAGACAAATCCTTGCTAAGTTTATCAGGAAGGGGTTGGAGGGTATATGTATTTATGTTTTAGCAGGCTTCCCAAAACCTGTGAGGAGGCTGCAGAGAGGGTTAACCATATTCTTGCATCTGCTTTTTAATCAGCATAGGGTGGTATCACTGCAAATTAAAACTGATTTTTATATCATTCTAAGGGTTGGCTTCCCTGGGAAGAAGCCAGGCTCCAGACTCATTTACAGGGAGACGGGAGAGGGAAATGGGGCTGATAACCTGAATCAGGATGACTAGGTTACTTGCTGGGGCTTCTTGGAATGCGCGCCCATCCCCGGAGACCCCACGTGAATGGTGGACCAGCTCAAAACCATGAGTTACGGAGGAAGCCTAGGCAGTGTGAGATGATGAGCTAGGAGAAAAGGAGTTGGCATTTTGCCTTGGGTGAATGACAAGGCCGGGGACGACTGCTCCTGGGCATCGAGATGGCTCTCATCAAGTGGACACCGGGGGTGGGAAGGGGAGGACTGACTAAGGTATCGCTCTTTTGGCCGCCCGGCTGGTGGCCGGGGAGTCATCACAGGCTCAAATTTCCCTATGTCTAGTTGTTCACTGTTTTCAATGAACTTCACAGACCCAGAAATCTTTATGTCATAGGTTTACACAGTTAATGGGCTTCAATTTTCCTCTAATTCCTTTCTGGATTACATCATGTTTTCTTACAGAACGTCCTGAAAATGCATAGCTATCTCAGCTGTGTTAAGAAGAGACAAAGAAAGGGACTCTGGCCTCATTTGGGCTGGAGGGAAAATGGACATAGAGTGGGACTCGAGTAAGTCCGTGGGGAGGGCAGGGTCAAAGAGATGGGATGCTCAGTAGGACATGGAAGGACAAATGGGAACATGGTAGGAAGGCTTAGGTATTCATTCCTTGAGCAGCACCTGACTTTCTTTGGACCCAGCCCTTGGTGAATTTTATACTCGGTATGAACAAGCCTAGTTTGGATATTTCTTGGGTGTGCAAACGGCCCTTCCTGGAAGCACTAGGGATTCCTGCATTGGAAGCTCTGGCCACTCTTTCCTGCCCCCTCCCCTCAGCCCAGTTATCTGCCGAGAGTTAACACCCAAGGTTGGGAGGGTGCTTAAAAACAAGCAAACCGAACCCAGCCCAATCCATCAGCATCGTCTATATCCCCAGGGAGCTTCTTTTTAAGAAACACCATCAAATTTTATCCCGATCTTGCTTCAAAACAAAAATGAATGATAAGCAAATCTACCACAACTATTTCAGCCTTAAACAAAATGTAGTCACAGAGCTGCAAGATATTCCTTCCCCCCAAATTGGTAACTCCTTCCTTCCAGACGCTGGTTGCAAATCCCTTTATAAACTGTGCCTTAAACTGTGATTTTATAAACTCTGAAGTGTCAACACACATGCAAGCTGTTATTATGACCACTAACGCTATACTTCAAGGCAACAATTAGAAGTTAACAGTAGAAATATTGTGTTCCAGCTTTGGGTCATAATTTCTATTTTTATTTGGTTGCTCATTTTCGTTGAACATCATTTCTTTTGAATCCATGTTAATTCCCATAGCTGGCTACTCTCCTATGCAATTTTTCTTATAAATAGACTCATACATAGATTTAGTTCAACATCTGAAGTTTTTATGGCCTTTTGTGTATACTACACCAACTTGCCTTTAAGGACAAACGGTAATATCCATATATCTTCACTTTCCCACCAATAAAATGGAAATGGTGATAACTTATCTTTTCTTTCTCTTCCTCTTTATCAAATGGTTTTAAGCAATAGGAAGCCACTGTGAAGTTTTTTTTTAAGAAATGCAGCCAATCAATTCCTTCTCCCTAGCTCGATTCTCAAGGTGCTTCTCGGGGACAAGTATTGAACCTGGTCTTTGTTTTCTGAAGAAAAAAGAAAAGCAGCTGGAGCTTGGTGGTCAGAGAGTCTGAGATGCCTCCTTTCTCCCTTGGCCCAGGCAAGAGAAAGCAAAGGAGAAGCTTCCTGGCTTCCACGGCCATGTCTGAAGCAAAGCAACTCTTCGTTTTGTTCGTTTTTCTTTTCTGTATACTTTTCAAAGTGTTTTCGCAGACATCCATCCTCATTATGGCACCGTGAGTGAGATACACAGACATTTCTGATTCCATTTTTACGGCTTCATGACCCCTCCAAGGGCCCACACTCACTGAGCAGTAAAATGGAGGCCAGAGACTAGGACCCAGAATCCGATAGTCCCTGAGAGTTTCTCTGCTAAGCACCTTTTCCAGCCTAAATTTCCTTCCACCGGGGCTATAGAGGTCTCTGCTGTCTCAGAGCTCGTGGTAGAGTGGTTGACCTATGTTGTATTTAGCTACAGTCTTGGCACATAGCTGATGTTCCATCAATGGTATCATTATGAAAATGATGTGAAAGTCATATTATTAGAGGGATTCTGGAAGAGACTTGGCAGGGGGCCCTGGGTTTGGATGTCAAGTTGGCAGCACACCCTGAGGTCAACATTACCTTGCACATTTCTCATCTTCTGTACTCTGGTTGTCTTCCCCGCTCCGCCCTCCTGGCCCCAGGTGCCTGCCCTGAGGACAATCTGGTAATTTCATGCAAGTGTAAAATATTCTTTCCCATAATGACACAGAATGTAGCATGTCTGGTGAAAACGTTTAGAGATTCCTCATTTTCTCTGACGAACAGGACCTGTGAGCGTGGAAATCCAGTTGCTCTTTGGTAGTTATCCCCTCCCCTTCCCTTTCTTTCTCCTGCAGATAACTCAGCATCTCCACGGCGCAGCCACCATGATCTCAGCAGACTGATGATGGAAGAAAAGGAAACTGGGAGATCCCGTGCTCCTGCTTCTCCGGACGATGGATGGAGGACAGCCCGTCCCTTCACCCCTAGTGCCCCTTGAGAACGTGTCGGCAGATTCTAGCATGTCTCTAGAGCAGAAAACCACATTTGTGTTTGTGATTTTGTTGTTCATTTTCTTGGGCATCCTCATTGTCAGGTGCTTCCGGATCCTTCTGGACCCATATCGGAGCATGCCGACCTCAACCTGGGCCGATGGACTTGAAGGACTGGAGAAGGGGCAGTTTGACCATGCCCTTGCTTAGCAGAGGGGGGCAGGAGCCCCTCCTGAGGAGGTGAAGTGCGGCATGTCTTGGTGAGGAATTCCCTTTAGTCAGTGTTCTCAACAAACCAAGTTTTAACAGCACCTGGTCCTAGACTTCCAGTCCCTCATTTATTAAACATGCTGTTAGGTTAAAAGCATTTGAAGGATATTGGAGATGAAGGTTTATAACACCCGCCCAAAGTAGGAAGGCTTGAATTTCCATGTTTCCTCGGCGAAGGAATATCGCTGAACGTGTGCGATGGTGAAAGCAAGAGCCTCAGCACTGACACAAACTTTGCCATAAAATGAAGTGCTCTCCCACCCAACCAGAGAATAAAGAATGGGAAGGATCTGAAATGAATCCGGTCACAGCGCCATGAAGAGCATTCCTCGTTCTGAGCATGTCTCTCAGTTGGTTTACTTGCACGGGAATCCGGGTCCCGGGCAGAGAGACCGGGCTGGGTGAACCCGGAGGAGGACTGGGAAGCCAGCGGGTGGGGGGCGCTTAGCACAAATGGTTCCATGCCTGGAAAAGATGAGTGAGGATGATCTCATTTTATTTCTCAAGTACAACTGAATTCAAAGGCTTATGGAGGTTTGAAAACTCTCCACCAGGCCAAGTACATTCTAGGTATTCATATTAATTAGCAGTGTAGAAGTAGCTATACCTAACCTGAATTGACTTTCTTGACACAGATGATTGAACTAATGGGTTGTGAGTGCAGCTACGAGTTGTTGTTGTTTGTTTGCTTTTTCTAATAAAAAGTTAATTGTTTAGAAGAGAAGACTGTCACAGTCTTAAGAGGAATGTATGTTTGTGATGGAATAGAGCAGCCAAATAAAACTTCTCAAGAAACAGTAGTGTCTCCTTTCCTGTTTCACTGAGACCCATGTACTGGTGGCAGTGTGTGATACCGAACGCGGAGGACGAGCCGCGTTCTGAGAGACAGAAAAAGCTGCAAGGTCATCGAGTTCATCCCTCTCCCGTTTCAGAAAGGGCTCCCACACATCGTCCTGCGCATGTACAACCTATTCTAAGCACGATTTAAGACCACCGAGAAAAGAGCAATGTGAACACTTCTTATTCCAACTTGTCTTGGTAGGAAAACCTTGTCTCTACACTAGACCCCTGAGGCTGTATCTATAATCTCTGTCTTGTGATTTTCTCCTCAGCCAGCCATCCTATTTTTTATTAATTAAAAAAGTCCAAAAAGTCAACTATGCCCGAAAAAGCAGCCCTTCGTAAACTTTCTTCCTTGTCTTCCTTTTTTATTTTTATTTTTTTTAACGTTCTTTGGAGGGTCTGCTGTCTAGATGCCCCCTTCCCCATGTTCCACTTGACTTTGTTTTTAAAATTTTTTTTAATTAATTTTTAAAAAGTAATCTCTACACCCAAATTGGGACTTGAACTCACAACCCCAAGATCAAGAGTCACACACTCTTCCAACTGAGAGAGCCAGGCGTCCCTCTTGACTTTTTTTATTAAAAAAAAAAAAAAAGTAACAGCTCTATTGGAATATAATACACATACCATAAAATTTACACTTTGAAAGTGTACAATTCAGCAGCTTTTAGTACCTTTCCAGAGTTGGGTGACCATCACCACTGTCTAATTCAATTCTATACCCACTAGTAGCAACTTCCCATCCCCTTCCTCACAGCCCCTGGCAATCTCGAATCCACTTTCTGCCTCTATGGGTTTGCCAATTCTGGAAACTTTATTTAAATGGAATTATAGAATACGGGGTCTTTTGTGTCTGGCTTTTTGCACTAGCATGTTTTCAAGGTCGGTTCATCCATGTGGTAGCATTCCTTTGCAGGGCCAAATAATATTCTATTGTTTGGCTGTACCATGTTTTGTTGGTTTATCGGTTGTCACGGTTATCCAGCGGCGAGTATGACTACTGCTGTGAACATTTGTGTCCAAGTCTTTGTATATTTTCAGTTCTCTTGAGTATATTCCTAGAAGTGGATTTGCTGGGTTATATTCTAACTCTATGTTTAACTTTTTGAAGAAGCTGAGACTGTTTTCCAAAGCGGTTGCATCATTTTACCTTCCCACCAGCAATGTATGGGGCTTTTGGTTCTTTTCTTAACTCTCTCCAATGACCCAGATTTCTTGTTTAGCTATAGACTTTATAATGGAACACACCACTTCAAGAATGAGTCATATTAAAAGGAGAGAACCACCTCGTGGTATCTACATACTGCTAGTTTACTGATGCTTCCGAAGATCCTTTGCTTCCAGATCTAAAGCAAAACAGTGATGCTGATCTGCAGTCATCCGCTGGTCTGTGACGTCACCTGAGTATTTTTTTGTTTTACTAATACATATTTTTTAATCCACTAATTGAAAAGTTCTCTTTTTTATTCAAATGTCCCACATTCCATGTGTCCCTATGCAATTTTTTCCTATTTTATTGGGTCTCTTTAAACCCATGCAAGTATTTATGAACCACCTGCTTTGAACCTGGCCTTTCTGGCACAGGGCCAGTTCTTGCTCTTGAGTACCTTTCAACCTTGTTGGAGGCCTAAGAAATGAAAGAAGGCATGGGTCTGAATCTTTGTGACCGAGATGGACTTATGGTCCCATACTATCAAAATCATCTGGGACCTTAAAAAAATATGTATGACCCCCCCCACACTAATTGTTCTTATAAAAGTTGTACATGATCATGGTAAAAATGTATAAACATCACGCAAAAATATAAAGTAAAAATCCATAGTCAAAATTCTGCCTCCTTAGGTCACTCTAATTCCAGTTTCTCTAGGGGAGCTTGTTGAAAATGTAGAGTGCTACAGCCTTCCATCCCTAGAGGTTGATTCTGTGGAGCTGGGTCGGTGAACAAATGCTGTGGGAGACAGAACACGGGAGCGATGGACACGGGCCAAGACAATCAAGGAACTCTCCCGGGACACAACGATTCAGGTGTGATGGTACAATGTTTAAATGTTTGGTATAAGGCTTTATGCAATGGAAGTCATTATTATGAAATAAGTTATATCTTCACCTAATAGGATGGAGATGTTTGGGGTATATGCAAAGGAGGAGAGGAGGGAAAACAACAGAGTAAGTAAAATGGGTGTGGGTGTGGAGCCTGCAGCCAGGAGAGCAGCCTGGCTGGGGAAGATGGTTGGGGCGTAGCGTAGCTGGAGCTTGTGTAGAAGGGATAAAGGTGAACACCAGAGTGTCCGTAAAAGCAAAATGAAGTGTGGGAGTCAGTGCAGGTTGGCGAGAAAGAAAATGACACGAGGAGTGGCTGTCAGTTCCAGTTTGTGTAGGCTTCCTCAGGGCAACGTGGGGATCTGCTTCTATAATGGGAACGGACTGAAATAGCCACCTGCCCTCTGAGGCTTGGAGCCCAGGACTGCCAGTAAGTGCAAGGGGGCCTCCCGAAGCCTGCTCTTCTTTCTTTCCTCCCTTCATTCCTCGCTCCATTTCTGTTTTTCCTTCTCAGATTACTGCTGCTTGTTCAACCTGCCCTCACTGGGTCTCCAGTGCTCCACCCCTCCCTTGTCCAGAGCCAGAGTACCATAACAAGCGATAAAAAGCTTTGGGCTATTCAGAGTAAATCGATCCCTCTGGTGAGAAGTGCTAACTCTCTGTTTTAATTACTCACAGCTCCTTGGGGTGAACAGCATATTCTCGAAAGGTCACATAAGCCCTCCTTTTCCCGGCTTTCTGGCTTCAGGAGTTACAGTGCAGCACTGTGCCTACCTTACAAGATATTTATAACAAGTGCAGCCGCCCTCTATCGTGTATATCTGCGTCCCAGGAGGAAGAAATTACTTCCCCAAGGTCACTCTGGAGTAGAGCTGCCTTTTTGATTCAGAAAAATGTGGCTAAATCATGCTCTGTCTAAGATCTATGCCCCGTCTATGCCCCCAAGGGACCCCAGGTTCTAGATCAACATTGCTCCCTCCAAGAGACCTTTTTTAAGTATCTTAAGCATGGAGCAAAGTAAGTCCGACATGGGGTGTGAAGCAGATTAACTTGACTCCTGCTGTTGAAGTAATGAACATTCCAAGCCAGATCATTCTTTTACTATTTTTAAGGGTTAAAGCTGAAACAAAATAAGCAACAGTTTTAGGAGGCAGAAGTTGGAACAGATGCTTAGGTATGTAGGAAAAATATGCATTCAAGTTCCTTTTTTATTGGTTTCATTGCATAGTGTTTTATTGAAACCCTGAAGCTTTCCTATTGTGAATATATTGATAAATTTGGGGAGATGAGAAATTTTACTTGCCCACCGTAAATCATTTTTGAAAAACCCTGTAGTGAAGAAGATGTCAACTTCCCAAACTGACATGTAAAACATATTGAAACACAATTATTTTCTTTTTTTTTTTTTTAAGATTTTATTTATTTATTTGACAGAGAGATAGAGAGCACAAATAGGCAGAATGGCAGGCAGAGGGAGAGGGAGAAGCAAGCTCTCTGCTGAGCCCGGAGCCGGACATGGGGCTCGATCCCAGGACCCTGGGATCATGACCTGAGCCGAAGGCAGCCGCTTAACCGACTGAGCCACCCAGGCGCCCCGAAACACAATTATTTTCAAAAAAAATGTTTTAACCCCAGAGCCCTGAATAAATTCTGAGATCTGATCTATGAGATTTGAGGGTTGGGTCTTCTGAGACAAATTAGGCACAGGATGGAGTCTCAGTTGTTGATCAGTCACAAAGTTGTAGAGTAGAGCCATGATCTCCGAAGTGCCCAAATCACTAAATGTGTATATGCAATCTGGGATTAGGTAACCCATGCCGGAAGTTATTTGCTCCTTGTGAGGCGTCAAAGAAAGACTCCCTAATCTTGGTATCTCTTGTTTCTTAAAAGAATCAATGAATGATTACCAGAGAGATATCTACCTCTTCAAAAGCAAGGCTTCGCCATTCTACAGCGTGGGTTGGCCCGATGAGCCAGGGTCCAACATTTCAGCCAGTCTAGGGTCCTTTCCAAGGTCATTTTTGAGAATAGCATTCCCTGGCTGGATTGAGTATAGAATGGGAATTTTGTTTCCAGTTTCCTGCCATAAACTACACTCATGTCTTGTCACAAACACCACGGGATACTATTGTATCCCTCCATCCTGGAGCCTTTCCCACTATCCTGATTGAAGTTGCTGTGCTTTAGGGTAGGACAGGTTCCCTTTAAGCTATCGTTCAAAGGTGAT